AAACCCTGTCTCGAAAAACCAAAAAAAAAAAAAAAAACAAACAAAACAAAACAAAAAAAGAATGCAGCTTCTCTGGACTCAAGGCTCTAGGGACCGACCCCCTTTCCCTTTGCCCAGGGCATTTATTATTCTCAATATTTACAGTTTAGTCAGTTGATTTCCATATTCTCAAAACAACCTGAAAGGAGCTCCCAAAAATACAATGCCAGGTGCAAATTCCTCGATATATCAGGCACCACGGTTTGTTGGGTTTCCTGAACCAGGCTTTGCACAGCAGACTCTGAGACAAGATTCACATGGGACGAACTAAAGCAAACACCAGGCTTGAAAAACATTTTCTAACTCCATTTCCGGATCTCTCAACGCTTGTTGGTCAGTGTCCTGTGAATGCTTATCAAAGTTAATCTTATTGCTTGCAGAACTCTGTACATTTTACTGCAATGGCTTTCTAAAGCTACCCTACTGCTCTGACTCACCAGAGAGCCTGTGACTGAACCACTACAGACCTGATACTCACGCAACGGTGGCGAGAGGCAGGGTGGCAATGTGGCAACCCTAGGCAGAAGTGGTAAGAGAGATTGACAGCAGCAAGGAAGAGAGGAAAAAAAAACCTAAGGCCATTTTGATTGTCTTTTTCAAGACAGGGTTTCTCTGTGTAGTTTTGGTGCCTGTCCTGGATCTCGCTCTGTAGAGCAGGCTGGCCTCGAACTCAAAGAGATCCGCCTGGCTCTGCCTCCTGAGTGCTGGGATCAAAGGCATGCGCCACCACCGCCCGGCTCCATTTTGACTATTTCTGCAGTTAACTAGGTTATATTTGGAGGTAGCCCAGGCTGCCCCAAGTTGCCCCAGGCTGGGTGTAGATATTACCTACAAGCCCCACTGAACCAAGCTAGTTTACTATTATTCAGTTGACTCTGAGGACGAAAACCAGAAACTCTCTTTTTAAAGAAAGTGACTTTAAACAGATTTTTTTTTTGTATTAGGGAGTATTTAAATCTGAGATTACTGGGGGCTGAAGAGATAGCTCAGTGGTTAAGAGCAAGTGCTGCTCTTCCATAGGACCCAAGTTCTCTTCCCGGAACCCATACAGTGGCTCACACTCTAGTTCCATGGAATCCAACATCCTCTTCCGGCCTACTCTGGCACTGCATGCATGTGGTGCACATACAGGCAGGCAAACACACATATACATTAAATAAAAATAAATAATTTTTTTAAAAATTTATTTATTTATTTTGTATACAGCATGTATAACTGCAGGCCGGAAGAGGGTACCAGACCTCATTACAGATGGTTGTGAGTCACCATGTGGGTACTGGGAATTGAACTCAGGACCTCTGGAAGAGCAGTCAGTGCTCTTATCCTCTGAACCATCTCTCCAGCCCATAAATCTTAAAAATAAATAAGAGCCAGGCATCATGACCCTCACTTTAATCCCTGCACTTTGGAGGCAAAGGTAGCCAGATCTCTTGTGAGTTTGAAGCCAGCCTGGTCTACATATTGATTTCCAGGACAGCCAGGGATATGTCAAGGGACCTTGGCTCAAAATAAGCAAGCAAATAAATAAAAAATAAATCTGAAAATACTGTACCAACAACCAAAAAAAAAAAAAATCCAAGAAAAAAAATGCAAGAATAATTAAAAGTTCCTCAAGGATTTTTAAGGAGATCTCTAAAAACATTGAGTGTGGAACAAAGGTTGAAGAGTCATAGTATTTTCATACCATTATCCAGAACATACTTGAAAGTGTAACACCTAATATCTTTTCTCAGCACTGATAGCTCAAAGTTGCTTGTTCCTGTCTTAAGTATTTAGAGACTGAAACTTTGTATACCTGGCATTTGTGATCAAAGGAACTTCCCCCCAACAACTGTGCTCTCAAATTACTCAAAACAATAAGATCCAAAATTTACAGTGGTGAATGAGATAACTTCCTCCAAACAGCAAATGTTGATACTAGCATTATAGTATCATACTCTGCATACAAGTTATTTCCGGTCATAAGTAGTAAGACCCATGAATGATTTGGCTGTTTATCTCTCCATTTTTTATAAATGTAATTTCAGAGATCAAAGGCCACCAAAAAATAAAAGTGGCTTTAAAAAGAGTAACGAGAGCCAGCGAGATGGTCAGTGGGTTAAAAGCCATTTGCTGCCAAGCCTGAGGGCCTGAGGTAGATCCCACGTGGTGGATGGAGAGAAAGATTCCTACAAGCTGTCCTCTGACTACAAGCAATCCTTGTGCTATGCGTACAGCCACGCGTACAAAGCACATACACATAAAATAAGTAAGCCAATATTTTAAACATTGTAAAGAACAGTAACGAACCAAGAGGAGGAGGAAAGAGAGCAGGCCAGCAAGAAGTGTGGTTGTGAACACCTGCATAGCAATACAATTTACATTATCAAGTAACTAGAATAATAGAATGATCTGATAGTGTTTTAAACAGAAGACAGGAGACCACTAATACTCAAGAGTCCTTCCAGACGTTACAAGAACTCACTTAGAGACTAACACATCGACTGATTCCAGGTTCTGGATGTTTCCAAGCTATCTGTTGACATTTTCTGAAGACTGCAAAATGAAATTCAGAGTTATTTCAATGCGTCTAACCTAAGCGGCCTCATACAAAATTAACAGGCTACAATACGATTAAAAAAAAACTCTTTCAATGTTTTGCTCACAGAACCCACATCTCCTACAGAAATAAATAATCACAGCTCATAATCAAACTGAAGCTGGGGCCTGCCTAGGATTCAAACCGCTAAGGGAGTGTCAGGATGCGAGAACAAGCTTCAGGAAGAAGAAAGTGCACCATACACAGGCCGAGGAGTCAAAGGACAACAAGGGCCGCCAAGACACCAGGCAGTTGGGCCAGGGCATCCAAAGAGCCACGCAAGGTCATTCAACCTCTTGACAACGACAGCTAGAGCTGGAGAACAGCCGGTCCCCGAGTCGGTCCGGAGCAGGAAGGCTGGGGATGCTCGGGACACAGCGCGCACGAGGTGCCCAGGTGCCGGGTCTACGCCAGAACCCCCGGTCTTGTGAACTCGACTCCGCGACGAAGAGCGGCTACTGCAGGACGCAGGGACACTGTGTGACAGGCTGTCCAGGCGCCCGCGCCCATCGCAGGGTCCCGAGGCCCGGGGCGACCGGGAACGCCGTCCGGGCCGCGCACCGGGATCGCCGGCGCTCGGAGATGCG